GCGGCGCTAAACCCAAAGTTGACAAAGCTAAGAATGACAATGGGAGTGGAATTCTGCCACAAAATGTTTTGAAGACTTCAAATCGTTATGCTGCTCTGTTTGAAGAAGCAAAGCCACAGTCTGTTTCTCCCCCTCCGTCAAGGCCACGGTGTTTGCTGCTTGGAGATTCTGCCATTCGGAATGTATCTTTGAACTTTGTACAGACTCATTCTGTGCACTCGGCCAAAGTGTCTGAGATAAGAACTCTGGTGCCAAAAGTTTTATCTCAAACCCGAGGTGTAAGTACATTGTTGATACACACAGGGGCAGTAGACATTCATGAGAAATCCGAGAAGTTGAGAAGAGATTTTTCTCTGCTGCTGGATGACCTTAAAAAAAAAAATGGAGCTACGTGTAATAGTGATAAAAACAATGTAATAGATATATATACAGAAAAAGAGATTTGCAATAAATAGTTATTTCATAATTTACATAATATTTAAAGATAAGATAAATATGGTTAAAATCACTCACCCAAATCACTCTCGTGGTTCTCTCTTTATTTCAGGTAAGAGACCAATTGTTGTAATTGTATCATATTCGTATTTGTTTATAAGACTTGTATTAAACTCCTGCAAGAGGGAAACGCACCCAAATCACTCTCGTGGTTTTCTCCTTATTTCAGGGGCGTAACATTTTGGAGGCACCGCTGGGATGAGCGCAACGAAGGCTAGCTCATGTCAGGAGTAACCCAAGTTGTTTTCTCATCCCCCTAAACAACCCAGGCTGACGACAAAGAGCAAAATTCGTTACAACAACGGCAGCGGACTGCATGAATAAAGCCTGTGTAATCTGAGGTGAAGTTACAGCCACCAGGAAAGCCAAGCTAATATTCAGAGCTAAAGCTAACGCTGCTGAGGCGCAAAAACTCGTCGTCACCTTATATCTGTATAATAACAAAATGGAGTCTAACGTCATGGAAGAACTTCAGCTAGAACTTATCCAAGCACTGTGTACGCTATCTGAAGAGCAGTTGCTGAGTATTTTTGGACTTTTAGACATCGAGGGACGTGAACAGACACAGAATAAGCCCCGCATTGTGCTAATTATCATGATAAGCTCTTATTTGCAACGTGATGAGACGGAACAGCTCGAAGATCAAGGTATGTCAGAGTTGCTGTACATAAGAGACCAAATAAAAGAATATAAAAATATTGGAGAACCTGTCTTACCTGCGAGTGAGTCCGTACAGATGGAAGCAAGTCAAAGCAATGTGACTGATATTTTGAACCAGGGTAACGATCAGAATATGCAACAGAACAAGGCAGATGAAACTTCCAATGAACATGTAAAGTTGACTAAAGAAATCGAGGCACTACAACTGAAGCTATCATTAATGCAAACTAAAAAAAACAGTCCAACACCGAGCAGGCAAGCACATTCCCTATATACTGCTCATCCACAGGTCACTGTTCCCTGGAATAAAGACTTAAAAATCTCTGGTCTAATCGGTGAGCCGGGGCAGAAAGACCGTCTCACTTTTTCAAGTCTGGCACGTCAAATCGAGCATGGGCTAAGTAAGGGTTTTACGGAAGCAGAGATTGTGGACGCCGTCATAAGAGCCATCACTCCAGGTATGCAACTCCGTAGTTACCTCGAAGGGAAAGCCAACTTAACACTCCCCGCTCTGAGAAGAATTCTTCGATGCCACTATCAAGAGAAAAGTGCTACAGATCTGTACAAACAACTGAGCTCAGAGGTACAAAGTAATAAAGAAGCCCCTCAGAGTTTTGTCATTCGTGCTCTTGATCTCAGACAGAAAATACTTTTCGCTTCTCAAGAATCTGAATCAGGTTTAAAGTATGATCCCACCCTTGTGCAAAATATGTTTCTTCACACGCTCCTAACTGGGTTACAGAATGACAACATAAAACGTGACCTACAGCCGTATCTACAACATGAAAATGTGTCAGATGAACTGTTGTTAGAAAAGCTTAATACTTCTTGTGCCTGTGAAAGTGAAAGACAAGACAAACGAAAACTGCTAGCCCCACAACGTGTTGCTATTCATTCTGCAGAGTCCAGCGAAAGCCCAGCTGAAAGACAAGGTAAAGTATCAGACCCACAAAAGAAATCCAAAGTGCAACCGGACATATTATCTGAACTGAAGGAAATGAGATCCAACATGACACTACTGAGTGATTTAAAAGCTGAAGTCTCTCAAATAAAAGAGTTCATGCAAAAACCGCAGTCACAAATTCAAGTTGAACCACACTCAATCCCTGTCAATCCACAGGTGACTGTCCCACCCGCAATGTCGCCCCAAATGCCATGGCCCAGTCCGTATGTATATCAGAACCCCCAGTACAACCAAACGACCCCAAGGAATTATGCAATACCCGCTCCCAGGCGTAGGAGGCGTTGTTTCACCTGTCAGCAAAACAACACTGATGATTGCAGACATTGTTATGTATGTGGTAGTAATGAACATTTCATAGCAGGTTGCAGAATGAGAGGAGCACGCCAGTCTCATCCTTTAAACGGGCAAGGGTCACTCCAGAGGGACCACCAGTGACCCCGATGCAAAGTATGTCCCAGAAGTGTGAAAGCTGTAAAGTTGGAGGAGACAAGGTGAGACTCCGACAATGTGCATTGTGTAAAAATGTACTTTATTGCTCAAAATCCTGTCAAACTCAACACTGGACTGTCCACAAAGAATGTGCGCACGTGTCAAGTGGTAGTGTCAAATCCAAGTCATCTAAGCATAATGTCAAAGTGGCACCGCTAATTGGACAAAAATACTTAGTGGATTGTTACATACAAAATCAGAAGACACAAGCATTATGGGATTCTGGCTCTCAAGTAACAATAGTTGATGAAAAGTGGTGGGAAGAGAATCTATCACATATGAAACTCAGAAACATTTGTGAAATATTCGAAGGTGACAATACATTGGCAATAACAGCTGCGAATGGAGAAAAGATGCCCTATATTGGTTGGTTAGAAGTCACCTTCAGATTACATGTTAATAATGCTCCCACCGAGGTCACTGTCCCCACCCTTGTTTTGAGTGGCTCCAGCCTTTCTCGGCCGATCATAGGCTCCAATGTAATAACACTTATTGGGCCTCATTCACGAACGGTTCTTAGGAACAGATTTGTACGTAAATCCTACTTACGCGGTTTTTACGAAGAAAGTGGCATTCACAAATATTTCTCGTAACCAGAATTTCACTTGGGCAAGTACAAATCCTACGAGTCCTCAGGAGCACTCGTACGCATTCAGTGCCGACATGTTCACACGCCGGGGTTGTCCTCTTTGGTGAAGTTGAATAAAAATACAACATTCCAGTGATATGTCCGTCATATCGATGTATGTATTTATTTATTTGTAGTAATCTTTATTAGTAATCTTTATTTATATACCGCCTTTTTCACTGCAGATCTGGCCTACTTTTTAATTCATTTTGAAATGAAATGTGCCAACGCTTTATCAAATACATTGGAAATCTTGCCGTGTATTAGTGACCCCTTCCTATTTATAGGGGGCATTTCTTTATCCACGGGCCACAGAACAACGGCATATATACTGCTGCTGCAGGAGGTTACTGGGTCCGCGCTGAGTCTCTGCGCTGGTCTCTCCTATGGATCTATACGGGTCTGCACTGGTCTCTCCCATGGATCTATACGGGTCTGCGCTGGTGTCTCCCATGGATCCATACGGGTCCGCGCTGGTCTCTCAAGTCTGGTCTATGCGGTCTCTCTTCGGTCCGCGCTGGTCTCTGCGCACCGGTCTCTCCAGTCAGGTGTCTCCAGTCTATGCGGTCTCTCCTGTCCGCGCTGGTTTCTGTGTGCTGGTCACTCCAGTCTCTCCTCGGGTCTGCATTGGTCTCAGCGCTGGTCCGCGCTGGATCTCCTCCCAGGGTCCAAAATATTTTGAGATAAATCTCAAAACATTTTGAGATTCATCTTTAAAATAATACATAATATATTTTTAAATTAAGCTCATAACATTTTGAGATTAATCTCATCATATTCTTAGATTAATCTCATAATTTTGCTAGTTCGACTTTATAATCATAATATTTCGACTTTTAAGTCAACATTTTATAACTTTATTCTCAGTCTGGCAAAAGCCTGCTTTAGGCCTGTTGCTGTTTCCTCTGGCGTCTGCACACGGCCCTGCAGTCCCTTATATGGGCATTAGTGGGCGGTTACTTATGCTAAGTACCTATGGTAATGAAGCACCGGGCACGCGCGCTGTACTTACGAGGAAATGGGATTCATCAATCTGAGAGAACAGCTGCGAACAATTCAGCGGCTTACGAGTGCGTTGATGAATCCCACGTGGGGACTTCTTAGAAATCTACTTAAGGACAACTTGAGAAGAAAGTTGAGTAGTTTCTTACGAAGTTATTCGTGAATGAGGCCCATTGTGT